AAGGAAGTAACAAGGCAATAATTCATTTGTGGCCTAGGTTGACAGCCATGGATCTGGGGTCCCTCATTTCTTTGACTCAGGTCAGAGGACAGTCCCTTTGGAAGGCAGGGAGCCTTTTCCTGAGAGATGGGTAAAGGAAAGAGAAATGAAGTGGAGAGGTAATGTGGTGACCAGAAGGCTTGGTGGCCAGAGATGACAGTATATCAGGAATGGCAGGGTTGAGACATGAGGAAAGATGAGGAAATGGAGACAGTATGGGACATAAAAGGGTGCAGGTATGGCAGGCTTCCAAAAGAGGCTGGAGAACAAACCCAAACAAATATTTTGCACTTTCATCTTATCCATGCCTCCATAAAAGTCTCCTGTTACGTTATCAATATTTGAGAAGAGTGTGACTTCCTGCCTTTAGTCAACGTGGGGAAATCTGAGCTTTAGAAAGTCACTTTTTGGGAATTCCCGGGTGGTCCAATGGTTAGAACACTGCACTTTCGCTGCCGAGGGCATGGGTTCAATCCCTGGTCTGGGAACTAAGATCCCACAAGCCGCATGGTGAGGCCAAAAAAAAAAAAAAAAAAAAAAAAAAAAAAAAAAAGCCCACGTGCAGCGACAGAGACCCAATACAGCCAAAAAAAAAAAAAAAAGTCACTTTTCTTCCCCAAACTGAAAGTCCTCAAAGATGCAACCAGGAGGGAAGGACTCAGTCTTCTGTGTCGGAAATGATTCTTCCAAAGCAGACTCCATGAAGTTACCTCTAAAACGAGAACTCCTAATATCACAGCCACCATGGTGCACAACTCCAGGGGATGCCGTTCACACCAAAGACTATTTGAACTTACATAGTATTGTGCGCTGTGTTTGTGGATGTACGCAAGAGCTCTGCATAATCACGTTAGCTCTAAAAAAAGTCACTAGATAACACAAAGTCCATATTCCAGTCAATTTCCAGTAAATTTTATTGACAAGAAGCTCTGAATGTGTACTACCATTAAAACACTCTTAAAGTTGGTTGTTCTAAAATGTTCTTGTTTTTCTTTCTCTGCTACTTAATATTTTTTGTAGGTGTTAAGAATCTAGGCTTATTTTATGATTACTTTTGTTGTAAGTCAATGGTTCTGAATTGGAGGGGTCAGGCATAACAGAATTACTTGGGAAATATTTTCAAAATATACTTGCCCAATATATCAACAGAAGAATGGATAAGCAAATTGTGACGTGGACACACATATACATACACACACATTATATAATTCTATTTATATAAAGTTTGAGAACCAGCAAAACTATGCTATGTTAGTAGAAGTTAGCCTAGAGAGGTGTTACTGACTGAACAGTCACATAAGGGAAATTTTTGTGGTGATGGAGATTTTCTATTTTAAAATTAATTAATTAATTAATTATTTGGCTGTGTTGGGTCTTAGTTGCAGCACGCAGGATCTTTGTTGCGGCATTCAGGATCCCTTGTTGCAGCGAACAGGCTTCTCTCCAGCCATGGCATGCGGGCTCCAGAGTGCGGGCTCAGCAGTTGTGCGCAGGCTCTCTAGCTGTGGCGCATGGGCTCTAGAGCACGTGGGCTCGGTAGTTGTGGCCCACGGGCCCAGCTGTCCCGCGTCATGCGGGATCCTAGTTCCCTGACCAGGGATCCAACCCTCGTCCCCCGCATTGGAAGGTGGATTCTCGACCACTGGACCACCAAGGAAGTCCTGGTGATGGACATTCTCTATATCCTGATTTGGGTGGTGGTCACATGGATGTATCCATATGAAAAAGTAAAGTTGTAGGTACATTTTTATTGAGTGTGAATTATATGTCAATAAAATACTGCCTAAAAATATTATATATAGAAACATATATATACCCACTGAAGTCTCTTACCCTAGACCAAGGGGATAAGATAAATAAGACATGGGGAGCAGGGGTTACAGAGAGGATGTGTATTTTGAAAAAGCTTCTGATTTTTCTTTCCTTCCATTACTGTACACTGCCAAATATCCTCTTAGGAACTGAAATTAGACTTAGGATAAAAACAAACAATCTCAGACTTCCCCAGTGGTCCAGTGGTTAAGAGTGTGGAGTCTCCACGCTCCCAATGCAGGGTGCATGGGTTGGATCCCTGGTTGAGATCCCGCATGCCACACGGTGAGACCAAAAAACAAACAATCTCTCTCTCTCTCTCTCTACTAATATGTCTTTACATTTTGTAGAAGGCCCCTAGAGATTGTCAGAGTTTTCATAAGAGAGCCTGCTGACTTTTTGGTTTTCTTTGATTGGGGAACTTATTTTGTTTTGCTTTTAAATGGTTTTGAAGGTATAAAATTAATAAATTAACGTGAGGAACACATTGGAGGTGGGAGGAATCATGGCAGCCCATGAGATTTGGCCTGTATTTGTAGTTTAAATTGGGCTTAGAAACAGTTGAAAGATTTGGGGGGATATTTAATACTGACAAGTTCCTAAAATTACAGAGCTTTAAATAAATGTGTAGTGATGTGTTTGGGGCCTATCCCATCAATCAATCTCCTGTTTACTCTGATGTATATTGAGAAGACTCAAGTGTAATGCAGACAGGAAATGGGTTGCTTTTTTCTTTTATGAAAGAAGCTTGTGACTAGCTTTTATATGTTTATCTAGAGAATGAAAGGCTTTTAAAATTTGAAGTGGGACTTTATATTTTAAAAAGTCTTACTTGTATTGCCTTTCTGTGATCTATCCCAAAGAAAGAGAAATGTGGCTGGTCAGATGCACTTTATGGGCTTTTAAATTAATAATGGGTTAATTTTTTTTAGAAGTAAAATTATTTAAAATAAAAATGAATCCACAGGAGTAGTAAATCTTATCTGACGGTTTTCTATTTTTTTGTTTTTTGTTGCCATTGAACACTCAGCAACATTCTCAACATTCATTTTGATTCTGAAGGCAGTGTGAAGGCAGTCCTTTCCCTAAGACATCCTGGCTTTATCACTTGGCTTCTTCCATAGGTATGCCATCTGCCTAGAGGAGTATACATTCATCCCAGTTCAGACTGGGAAAGACCTCAGAGATGAACTCCTTCAACCAGGCTCTGACCTCCATGTCACACTCCACTTAAATACTAAACTCAGGCCTAGAGGTGAAGTGTCTTGCTCAGGGTCACACAGCTAGTCAGAGGCAGAACCAAAACTGTGTCTGCAGACAAGTTCTTTTTCATCTACACCACGACTGTCTCAGCTTGCTGTCCTCAAGAGTTTGGTGTCACAGTGACTTTAAAGCAAAAATATACAAATGCCACTTCCTTTCCTGGAAGACCTCAAGAGGCCTCTCATCTCTCCTACCTTGAGAGCCTGTAGGTCTTTCCTTATCTTTAATTTTAACCCTATTTTGGTTAAATTTTGAAGAGCTTATAAGTTTGCATTTTGGGGCCAGACAGACTAGGGTCCATTATCATAGTTTACTTGCTCTGTGACCCTTGGTGAGACAGGTAATTTCTTCACACTTCACTTTCCTCATCTCGGAAATGGGGATAATATACCAGAGCACATAAAAGTGCTTTCCACGCTTCCTGGTGAACAGTAAGGCACTCCTTAATTTTCTTTGGAAATCCAGCAAGCCAATATTGAAGCTATCCAGCTATTTCTTGAAAGTTGGAGAAACTGATCTTAATTCCCTTCAGCCTTTTCCTTCCATCCCTTTAAGTTCTCCGCTTCTTTATAATTTTGAAGATTAGCAAATGCTCAGAGAAGTCAGAGTTTTGTGACCACAAATTTGTGCATGATGGCTGCCAGAGGCTCTTCCTCAAGAGTCCAGGAATTTTTCTGAGTTGTGGGACACTGAAGGAATTTGAGACAACATCCTCAGTGGCAATGACTTCAGGGACCCTATTCAACCTAAGAAAGGTTGAAAGGACTGGGCTTGAGTAAGACAACAGACTCCTAAGACATCATTTTGGCAATGCAAAAGCCCACAGAAAAATAGGCAAATCCTTTAATCTTAACAGCTACAGAGATCAAGGCTTTCAGGAACTGGGGCACTCACCACAGGGCAGGTCCGAAAACCCGGGTTCCCCGGCCTGGCTCGGTGCCTGTTCCATTTTACCAGCTGCGTCTCTTTAACTCCACCTCCGAAAATGCTAAGGAAGTTCCCTCCCAGTGCCTACCCAGGCTGGGTGGGGCGATTCTGTGGCACTGAAAGAACCGGGAAAACGACATAGTCTAACTCCCTGCGTGCACTAACTGCTTTTGCGATTCAGGGAGGCGGTGGTGGGGTTGGGGGTTGTTAAGACGCCAGGTCCGGTACCCAGAGGTTCCAGGTGTCCTGGACAGAGAACTTTAAGATCGCCTGTTTGGGGAAGCCACCTTCCTTTCTCCTGGTCTGCTTTCCCTGTGTGGTGGCTGCATGGGGACATCCTGCTTGGAGGGTTCCCCCAAATAGATGGACTGTCCTTGCTCCTGGTTGGGGTGGGCAAGTTCCCGCCGCTGCCCCGCCTCTGCAGGTTGCGGAGATCTAGGTGGGATTTTTCCTGCTCCCCGCTTTCGCCCCCGCCGGGAGCGGCGCTAGGCGGGGTCGCTGTGGTCGCTTTGCCTTCCCCACTCCCACGTCTCTTACTCCGGGGAGTTTCACCCAGTCCTCCCCGCTCGGCCCTCACCTTTGAAAACCTTCTCCAAAGCCACCACATTAAAAGTGCGCGACTTCCCCCGGGCCTGCAGAAGGAGCTCCTGCAGCCCGGCATTGCTCAGATTCCAGCGCTGTGACGTCCCCAAGGACGCACGCCTGGGGCTCGGGAGCTGGGGCTCCCTTTTCCGCGCCGCCCCCCGCGCCCCCGCGCCCCCGCGCGCGCCCGCCCAGCCGCATTCCTCCCCGTCCCCGGCGCGCGCCCAGCGTTTCCCCCCGCGCCGCCGAGCCCGGCCCGGGGGTGGGGGAGCCGCGGCCGCTGGCGCCTGCTCCGTCCCCTCCCACTCGCACGGCCCCTTCCTCCCTCCTCTCTCGGCCGCTCGCATTTCCTGCCGCTCTGGCTCTCCCGGCCCCTGAAAGTTCGTCCCAACTTTTTCTCCCCCGGGCGGGCGCGGCGGGCGCAGTCCGGGGGCAGGTTGCTGCGCTACTCCTCGCTCCGCCGCCTGCCCTCCCGGCGCTGGTCCTCGGGGAGCGGCCGCCACTCAGTGGCCCCTGGCGGTCCTTCCCCTCCCACCTCGCCCATCCTCCCGGTCCCAGCCTCCCTCTGGCGGGACAGACCCGAGCCGGGGTGGTTCTCCTTTTCCCCTTCTCCGAGCGCCCCCGCGCCAACTCTCGCGCCGGGATCGCGGCGGAAACCTCCCTCCTCTTTCGCCTCCTTCGGCTCCTTCCCTCCGCCCTTCCACCGCCAGCCACTGGAATCAATTCTTTGGGGGAATTGGGGTTTCGCCGCTGCCGCCGCCGCGGAGGACAGCCTTTCCGCGCGGGACTCCGGGGCACCGATAGGGCCATGTAAGCAGGTAAGCGGCGTCTGGGGCGGGGAGTCGGGCCCGGGGTTGGGGGCCTCTTGGGCGCTTCGGGCGCCTTGCCGATGATTTGGGCAAACGCTGGCAACGCCGACTTGGGTTCGGCGGCCCGGGACGCCCGGCAGGGCAGCGGGGGCGCGAGGTGGCCGGGCCGCAGGAGTTTTAAGTGGCGGTGGGAGCCGCCCGCTGCGGCGCATAGCTTGTCTGGGAAGTTAGGTGGAAGGTGAGCGCTGTCTGGAGAGTTGGTGGTGAAATCACACTCTCGCCCCCTCTTCCCCATTCCCTTCTCCTTTTTGGGATCCAGAGAGGGCCTAGTGAGGGCAGCTGGAGATACCCAGACGGTGCGGGCCGGAGGATGAAAGCCAAAGACGTTGCTGCCTCTCGGGCTGGAGAGGGACTCTCTCCGCGACCCTCCTCTGTCCCCTAAGGAGACAGGATCTTGAGAGGGAGAGAAGTTTGCATGCCCTCCCACTAGGCCCCAGCCTAGCCACCAAACCCCAGGGCTTCTTGGCCCCTACTTGGGTGGTCGGGCCGGCCCATCGGGAAAAGCTGTGGCCGCATAATTTCAGAACAGGTCTCCACCTCAAACTCTCGAAGTTCTGAGTATTAACAAGTTCTGAGGGTGGTGTTAATGCACCGTCTCCCCTCTCTCCTGGCATGACCGCTACATCTGGGGTTTGAATGCTTGTAAGGGATTTTCCACCTTTTGGAGGGAGCAGTGAGGTAACGCCACCCCTGTCCCCCTTTCCTCTCCTCTTCCTCTAGTTGCCATCACCCCCAGCTACAACTTAAGGAGATTGTGGGTTTTCGTCTTCAGTCTGTCCAGGGACTGGCTGTTGCAGGCTCTTTGTGAAGGTGAGGAATCTCTAGACTGCTGGCTGCTGGTGGGTTACAGGATTTCCACCAATGTGTGAACTTCTTCAAATGGGTTAGTTCACCCATTCATTCAAGGAATCTAGTATTGCAGTTTCCCCTCTGGGCTAGGAACAGGGGATACAAAGATGCTAAAACAAGATCTAACTGCGGCCTCCCGGAGGAAACCCTCAGGCTGATCTAGAAGTAGAGCGTAATGAGAGGGCCTGGGAAGCCTTGGTCCGGAGGTGAGGGGGCGAGGTGTGCGCTGAGCTGAGAGGATTGAGGTGTTGCTCACCTGGAGGGCCGATTAGGAAAGTGCATTTCGCGTAGAGGAAAGAGCTTGTGCAAAGTAAGAGTCATCCAAAAGACAAGTACAAAAAGGTCATACGCTAGCTGGGGGCTGGAGGGGGATTTATGGCCAGGTTGGTTCAGTGTAGCCGGGGTAGCATTTTTTTTTTTTTTTTAATATCAGAAATTAAAGTGGAAGCATGTACAGGAACCAAGTAGCTTCCAGAGGAGCACACATCTCTCTTTTTGGACAAGCCTTCATGCCTGATGCTGTTTCTACAGCAAGCAGTAGTTGTGGGACCATCTAAATTTTCATTGGCACTAATTGGCCCAGGCCTGGTTTCATTAGAATGGTATTGATTCCCTTTTAAAGAGCCACCTGACAGCAATAGGTGATAATAGTGTAGTTTACAGAGCCCTGTATTAAAGTTGCCTTATCTTTTGGTGATGGCCTTAAAAGCTTGTGCCTTAGAATGATAGGTTAATGAATGGGGGCTGAACAGCACGGTGCTCTTTTGCCTAATCCGAATGGGTGGCCATGCTGTGCAGAGTGAGTTCACGTATGTGTCACTGTGTTTGTTGTAGTATTCTCCACTTTTCCAAGTCATTACTGCCCCAGCACAGTTGGAAGGATGACTTTCCCTTCCTCTGAAACTTTATGAAAAACTGAATGTCTTCTAGGAGATTGTTGTAGCCTAATCGTCCAGGATTCAGCAGATCCTGCCTAGAAAATTTTTTATAGTACGGGAGCCTCCTGTACGTGGTTTGCCTCTCAAGGGTGCCTCTTCTCAGGGCTGAAGTGGCATTGTAGTATTTATTATTCATAGTGGCTGCGTCCTGGCTGAGGTGGCAGAAGTCCAGCTTTTGGTGACCTCAGGCCAGTCCATCAGAGTGAGAAGAGAACATTGACTTCCTACAGTGTTGGGTGTTTACCTAAGCTCCCCGCAAACACCATACCTTATCTCAAGAACAGCCCCTTGACGAGGGTTTTCCTGAAGGTATAGGACCTACTTGAGAGAAATGGCTCAAGGGAAGCTTTTTCTTGCTAATCCCAGGTAGCCGCCCAGCCTCCATCATTGGCTTAAACACATAGTTAATTTTAATGCTTTAGTTATTTAGGTTTGTGCGGACCATGTGGAACGGACAGCTGTAATGAAAAGAGCAGTTTGACTATTTTCACTTGCAGCAACCTAAAGAATTCAGAGTAAAATCAGAATTTCGGGGAGATTCTTACTTGTCCTGAATGGAAGAGCCGGAAGTCGAGAACTATGAAATTTTTTTTGGTTTCCCAGTGCCTTCCCTCCTTATTAAGGGTTTCCATTTTTGGCCTCAGGGAAGCAAACATAAACCCTTTGATTGCACATTGTCCCCCACCTGGGTTCCATATTCTTATCCTTTGTCACCTGCGACCCTGCATTCGAACTTCTTTACTTAGTCACCAAATGCTGTGCATTTTTTGGAACTCATTCTAAGCCTCAGAACAGTACTGTGCACTTTGTTAGACATAAGGCAGGGGAAAGAGATGAGATGAACTCTTTAGTCAATTCAGTTATTGCTGCTTTTGCTGATTGAAAAAGAACGAGGGAAAACAAACAAGTTTTGGTAGAGAAGCGGTTAAAGTTAATGTCTAAAATAAGACTCTGTGGTCTCCTCTTATTGATTTAATTCTCTCTTCCCCTGTCTGAGCCCCGGGGAGGGCTTATTAAATGGTCCAGGGGGTGTGTGTAGCATATTTTGCAGCTTTTCCAGGCTATCAGTATGCTGGTGCCAGGGATCCAGGGTTGGGAGTTCAAGATATAGCTAGGTTTGTATTCCAGCTCTGCCATCGTTTAGCTGTGTGATGTTGGCCGAACTTCGCAGCCCTTCCAAGTCTCCATTTCTTCATCTCTTAGATGGGGCCAGTAGTATTTAACTTGCCAGGATATTTGTGGGGAATTCTGTGTAATGCTGTATGTCCCTCTGCTAACAGTGCCTCCCTCACAGAGTAGGTGTTGGGTCAAGGATGGCTATTTATATGTTCCAGGAGTTATATGTGGCCATGAATGTGCTCTTTGTGTGTGTCATTTTTTCCCCAGCAGCCTCAATTCACATGTGTGCCAACATACACATAAAGCTTTGTCTTTGACCCTTTTTTTTTTTTTTTGGTCTATTGGCTCAAAGCACACGTGTTGGCTGGCAGCTGCTGGCCTCTCATATATGAGGAGGTCGAGCGTTTCAGGACCAGGCAGTAGGATAGTTGGGAGGGAAAGCCACGTAGACAAGGGCAGAGAAAAGGATTCTTTTCCCTGTATACTACTTACTGTAACGAGGGTCCAGTGCTAATACAAGGATCCTTGTGTTTCTAACGTTGAAATCCAGTTAATTAAATGATGTTAGAATAAATCCGCCTGCCTTTATAGCAAGAGTGCAAAAGCTAGCCGATCGACACAAATGAGTGTCTTTGCAGCCCTGCTTTCCTTCTTTGAAGCCCAAGTATAAGGAGGCAACTGCAATGCCGCTCCTGTCCTGCCAGCTTCAGGTCGCTTGAACTTTAACGTTGCCTTTCATCAGAGAAGCCTAAAGTATTTGGCAAACATTAACTCATTGATCTTCGTATCAACCTCCCAGCAGGAGGGAATGTTAGAAGAAAGGAACAACTCCTAAAACATCAGTAAGGCAGGTGGGTAGTATCTGTTCTAGAAGCAGAATGGGTTGTTACAGTCAAGAATTGGCTAGATCGTGCATACGGGATTCAGAGTGGTCCCAGGTCAGAGAGGACCCCTTTGAGTGGTCGAGGGAGAAAGTTTAAGAAAATGCAGATCAGGCTGGGATTTTTGCAGTGGAAGGGGAGAGGAAATCACATTGCTAGGACCAGCCATTGCCTTTGCCATGTATTGCATGCACACCGATTATAAAAATAAATAATCTCTGAATTATTTATAATTTTGAATGAAAGGATATGATGCAATGCTTGTGGATGAGGATTTAGAGTAGCTGAGGGTAAAAGGTAATAGTGACTAAGTACCTTTTTGTGGGATAAGGGTGGTTATGTGTCTAAGTTGGATTATAAATGGCGTATTAACATTGTTTTAATTTCCTTTCCCTTTTTCCTGTTGCTTCCATATGCCTCAGCTTGGTTTTGTTTTACTCTCCAGTCAAGCTTTTGTTGGACTTGCTTTATGGTCCTTGATACTGGAAAAAACATACTGTGGCCATGCTTAGATCAATCGTGTGTAGGATTTGATATGTGGGTGATTTAGCTTAGTTCCTTAGGGGACTCCATTAGGCCCAGCTCAAGGGTTTCATCTTGAATCTGGTCAGTTAGCTTGACACAGAGGCCTGTTGCATATCCGGAGATCCTGTAACCCTAGACGACCATCCCATAAATGCTCGATGTTGCTCAACAGGGAGGTGTCTGGTGAGAAAATGAGAAAGGGTTCGCTGGTGGTGTGGCATCCTCTGAGAAGCAGAGCATCCTTTTCATGTTTGTAATGTTTGAGATTTTAGTACTGAATGATATTCCTCAATTACAAAGCTTTACGGTGAGGACCACTGACGTGCTCTCCTTTGCTTTGCTATTGAAAATTAGCAAAAGTTCCTGATGCTTGTCTTCGTGCAGAGTGTATCCTTTTCTAACATATAGTTTCCTCAAATCTTTGGAGACCTGTCTCCTGAGAGTTCTTTCTTTCACGCTCCAATCCCGTCAAGTAATTGGGGCATTAGCTAAGGCTGTAGATCTCAAAGTCTAGTGAGCCTCAGAATCACCTGGAGGGCTCCTTACCCACAGACTAATGCTCTTCCCCACACCACCCCAGCTTCTGATTCTGAGAATTTGCATTCCTAAGGAACTCCCAGGTGGTGTTAACACTCCT